TTCTCTCTACTCATTGCTGCACCATATATTTTGTTTGTATATTTGTAGTTCGTGTTGTTCCTTCTTCTATTTCTCTGTTGTTCCTTGTTGCAATTCTAATTTTAATTAACAATAACCAAATCGCGCTAAATCTCATCTTGACAAGCTATGCGAACGTTCACGACTGCTGCTGCTGCCCGAAGAGACGGCCTGCTTATTGTTGCCGACGTCGCCAACGCGTTGGTGCGGTGGAAGCTTGTCGAAGAATGGATGTCGTAGCGCATCACCTAGAGAGGAAGAGTAATGAAATAGAAAATAGATTAGTAATATTATTGATGTAAAATGGATTAGTTTGCCTTGAAAGAACTGAAACTCGGCTAAAGGTTTTGCAATACGCTTGGCGTATTGGCCAAAAATCTAAATGATTTCATAGCAACTGTGCTTTCTCATGAAGTGTGAAATAACGATTCAAGATATCGATTTAGAATAAATTTTAAGAGCTCGTGGAGCAATGAAAATTGGTACATATATTCACATACATATATACTATGAGTGTTGCAGGAGCAAAGAGATATTGGCAATGCTGCAGAAACGAGAGATCTTATTTGACTAATGTGTTCGCAATAAATGAAATGAAAAGGAATTGATAATTAGCATATTGACACCTTTAGTAAAATTTCAATACTTTATAGTAAATATTAAATCTTGTATTGAGCGCCGTTGTTACTGCTAGTCTAGTGTCGAATTTCCTCTGGTCATTGAAATGATAAAAGTTTTAGTGATATAATTGGACACTAAATAAACCTGCGCCATTACATTTGTAACAAACCAGACGGAAATTTAGGAAAAAAACTTCCTCCAGGAGCCCTTATTTAGGATATTTNATTTCCTCTGGTCATTGAAATGATAAAAGTTTTAGTGATATAATTGGACATTAAATAAACCTGCGCCATTACATTTGTAACAAACCAGACGCAAATTTGGGAAAAAAAAACTTCCTCCAGGAGCCCTTATTTCGGACATTCTGTAGCGATGGGGCTTTCTCTGTCGTTTCTTAACACCTTTTCTTGCAAGGACTGGCCACAGCCTAACGCGAGTGTTTCTTTACTTTACTTTCATTGCTTTGGAACAACACTTTCTTGCCAGCCTTTAAGGCTATTTAAAAATCTTCTACAGCCTCTAAAGGGGTCTTAGTGCAAAAGCCCTGTTTGAAGGCACTTTTTTTTTACAAGCGCGCTTCATTTTCCCGACTGAGGGTAGGCGTAAAAAATATTTATCTCACCACACACTTTTTTGTCATTGCAATTCCCAGCAAAAATTCGTTATAATAATAACATGAGTACGTATTTTCTTGAAACTTTACACTAGATATACTTTCGAGTCTAAAAATACGTCTTCTGCTTTTTACTTAATGAAGCTTAATTTTCAAATATCCGCCCTACAATTGCATTTCTTTACCGTGAACATTAAAAATATACAAATTTTTGTTATACTCACTGCATATATTAAGGTGTGTATGTTCCAGAGATGCTTACCTTGTTATTTTATATATGAAATGCAATTGCAGGAGATTACAAAATACAACAAACACAAAGAATTTGTTATTATTATTGTAAAAAAAATTCTGTTAGAAAATTATAATTAACATTCAAAGTGAAAACGAGCTTGATCTTTCACGGTTGCTTGTTTATATATTTTGTTGCAAATATTTTAAAATAATTGTCCAACCCTAAAAACTAATTTTTAAATTGAATGCTACTCAAAGCACTACGAGGTCGGCATGCTAACGCAATTCACGATATTAGTATAGGGTCAGTGTATTAAAATATTTTTATTCTTATCACTTTCACTGTTAACAATAAAAGTACCACGGACAGTAACAACAACACTCTCAAGTTACGACAAATATTATACATAATTTTTTTTTATTTTTTTTTAACATTTCACTTTATTTTGTCTCACATTAGCATGCCCCATTCTCACTTACCTAACGTAATCCGTTGTGATGGCTCGTAATCCAACATCTTCTTGATCAGATCAAAGAGCTCGCAATGATCTTCGGTATCGCTCATTTGATATCTAAACAATGGCTTACAATGATCACGTACATAACGTCCAGCCGATGACTTCTCATCCCAGTCCAACTTACCGTGATAGAAGTATTTTGTTTTTGTTTTGCTGTAATGACAATGATTGCTATACATTAATCGAATTTTATGAAGTATACTGCACGTTAAAATATGTAAGCATGTTTAGCTTTGCATTACCGTGCCATACGATATGGTATTTGGCCCAATATACGCTCCATCATCGCGAGATGCTCACGATTGTCGTGCGTTTGGAAGAGTGTGATGCCCAGATATAATTCGAAGAGTATGCAGCTGTATGGAAAGTAGAGAAAATAATAAGGATTAAAATAAAATTTATAGTTTTAGTAGTTGAACACGAACTATTTATTGGTGTTGGTTTATTTGTACGAAAGGGTGGGAAGATAGATAGATGTATTTTGGAACGAAATTCCGTCACTGCTTGTCAAGTTTGGTTTGAAGAAAATAAAAATGGTACAACACCGAAACCGGTTTGCCTTCAAACCAAACTTGATAAGAGATGACGGAAATTCGTTCAAAAAATA